ATAGCTAATTTACAATTGCATTATTCAGAAATTTTTTGAAACATAAAAAAATAATTCAAAAAAAAATTTTTATAAAATTTAATATCATTGGTGTTAAGAACCTTTTCAAACTGATATTCAAAAGTGTTGAAATAAATTTTTGGTATTGTCCTTTGTAACCACTGTTTCGTGTAATTTGCTGCTTCGTGTAATCCATATTCATTAACCCGGATAATTATTGACTGTGTTATCTGAATAAAATTCAAGTAGCTAACTGCTTCTGACATATGAATAAGCATTTGAAAATTTTTGCATTCAATACGACTGGTTATTTGTCTCAGAAAAGCAGCTACAGTTGACATATTTCAGTGAAATTCTCAGCTGTAGCTGACCTTCTCTGTGGTTCTCTACAACAGCAGTTGCAAGTTCTTTGGTATCTGCATTCGATGACTATCAAATTAATTTTGCTACTAGAGTACATACGCTATTAATTTCAACTGTCCAAAAGTTAAAGTGATCTGCCAAACCAGTTGCAACGTCAAACAGTAACCAAAATTTCTTGTACAACAAACAGCATATTACACTTAAGTCAAATAAGTGTTCAAAATTTAATACAATTAGTCACAGCAGCCATCCTTGATTGAAAAAAAAAGCTAGCGTTGAAGTAGCTAATAAAAGAGTTGAACAACAAATTTAACTTTCAACAGCTTCTAAACCCTGTGCAAAAGCAATCGTCATAACATTTCAAGTTTGTGGAAGAAGAAAGCTAAGACTATAGCAGAAAGCTTTTAGACAAAAATCTGTTAAAAATAATAGAACATGATCGGTACAGAATAGCCTGCACACGGTTTGTTGACTTAAAATTTTTTTTTTCTTTTTTTTCATTTCACCTCTGTACTGCAATATAAACATAAAAAGTTTACTTTTCTAAAAATGTCGCATTTTTTTTTGTCGTTAATTATCGCAACAAAAATTTTTTACGTTTGCCTAACAAAAAGCTTCTTCCTCGTAGCTCTCAAAAACTTGATTTTTACGATATGTTGACATTTTCAACTATTCTCGAGTAATACTTAATAACAATTGTTATTAGAATGATTTCAGATCTTATAAACTGTCTGTCTGTGCACTTTAAGCTACTTGAGATGTTCGTGCTTGCAGTTCATTTTTTGATTCCTTTTTAAAGTTTTTTGAACAAAAAAAAAAAAAAACAAATCAATTTTACAACCAAATACATTTGACTAGTTTCAAGCATATTTTACACTTAAATACAAAAACAGCGTCATTTATAATTCAACGCTGCAATATTGCAGAAATAAATACCGGCATTATTCTTCTACACTAATAATTAAAATCTACAAAGAACATCGATGAAAGTATGATGACATAAAAAAATCTCTTTTCCTCAAAAATACCTTCTCTAAACGCTTATATTTGGATAAGGTTAGAAGTTGTGAGCAATAAATTATTACAAAATGTGTTCAAAAATAAACAGTACTTTCTTAAGAAGAATACTCCTGTTTTTTTTATCCTTGATTTTTCTACATTTTTTACTGAAAAATTATGTAAAAGTAAAAGTTTTATCTCATAGTCTTCGGAAAAACCAAGTTTATTTCCTTACATAAATCAGTTTTGATTAACTTAAATCCGTTTTTAACATCAAAAAGTTTTTTAATAGCTTCAAACCAAAAAAAAAAAATCCTGAAATTTTCTTTACCGAAATTTTTTTTATAACGATATATTTTGACTAACGTTTTTTTAAACAGAAAAAACTGTTACGACTCGCTAAATAGCTGCATGTAGTATTTCAGAAAACTCAACATTGTCTGAAGTACAGAGCAGTACTGTTATTAAACACTTCTGAACGTTAGTCACGGGTATCATCGTCACCATAGATGCGATATAATGGAAACTATATTATCAAGAGCTGCCATAATTACTAAAACACACCAAACAGACACAACGATCGTAGCAACAAAAATTCTCAGATTGTGTCTCAGTTTTCAAACTTTCTTGAATTCATATTGTCTCTCAATAAACCCGTTATACGTCAGTAAACTTTGGTTCTATATATACTTAGATAACATTAGTTAGGTTTTTATCAAAATATTTATTCTAGCTCCCCAAAAATCAGGAAGCTCGAATAGTATTTCTGATACGTAAAAGAAGAAGAACGCCAAAAGTTAAGCGACAACTTTAGTGCAATAGGTAGGTACCGTTCATTCAATTAAGCCGAATTAACACACAAATAAACAAACAAACAAACAAACAAACAAACACACACACACACATATAAAAACACGTGCGAATAGCTAATTCAAACAAAAATAACCAAAAAATTTATTGCTGCTCAATCAGCAAACGGTCATTAAAACCTTTAAAAAAACTTTCCAGCGCAAGTTTTTGCAAAATACTGTTTAAAAAGACATAAAAAATACAGCTACATCCGATCTCAATCATTCCATGCCTTAAATTTACTCCTGTCGTATTGTGTAGTATTAGTCAATTTTAACAGTTCAGATTTCTGGCTTTGGTCAGCTAAATATTAAACGAACGTTTACTCTTCGCCAACTACAAACTAAAGGTGACCTACTGTTTAAACAGCAAAAGCGAGAATTCTCAAAAAAAAAGAAAAGTATATATA